ATTAATACCTGAGAAATTCAAATTTCCAATATTGAATGAATTTGGAGTAGTGTGATACCCTGGCATGGGGTAGTACAACCCCAATTTATTTATTTATTGATTTTCAATTGTATCTCATTTATTTTATTTATTTAAATCTTTAAATAATGCATTAATACCTGAGAAATTCAAATTTCCAATATTAAATGAAGGTGGAGTAGTGTGATACCCTGGCATGGGGTAGTACCCAGAGTACTGCAATGGCACACGATCATTTCCATAGAGACAAGTGCTGCTGTATGCACTGTAATCCAATTTCTGGGTTGCACTAGATATATTCTGGCTAACCGATGAAAACGTCGTACCACTGCTGTTGTATCCAGGATACGATGGATATTGTGCCATTGGACTTGGTGACGTGTATCCTAAGTACGAACTTTGGAGACTCGTCGAGTTCTTCGTCGAGTTCGTTGACCCGTACGAGGGTGAGTTGTAGAGACTGCAAAGTCCTTTCAATTAATTTTCCCCCGGGGTGACTCAATGATTTTAAATCGTCACGATAATTACCTATTATAATACTGATTGGCACCGTAGAGAGTACTGTAGTCGGTTTTTTCCATCGAGTCCGGATACTCTTGCTCCTTCTCAACGGCATTTTCGTCGACGTACAATTCACTCTCCGGCAAATTCTCACTCTCCGGACACTCCTGGACTTCATTCTTGACTTCGGCCTCTGAAAAAGTCATTTATCCCCTCAATTCACCCCAGAAGAACACTCCCCAATCAAATGGTAAACTAAGTGCATTTCTGCCAATACCGATTTTTACCGATATCTCGCTATTGAAGGCACATACCGAATTTTCAGCTTAAATATTTTTTGTAGAAAAAAATGAGAGCTACAAAAAAGGTATCTATGTAAAAATCAGTATTTTACTTCTATTCCATAGTTTTTCTCGGTGTAAGAAATCTAGTTCCGTGCACTTCATTATTTTATCACAATCTGGTGTTTCTTTTTGATTTTTTATGAGTTCTGTTGCCGATTTTGACGGTAAATTGTGGTGATTAATTAACTTAATATTGGATACCATTATTAGAATTGCGTGGACCCTGCACTGTAGCCTCCGTCGATGATGACACGTTACCAACATTGTCTAACACCCCGGCCGGTTTTGTCGGGTCATTGTCCTCGGTTAACATATCACTCGACTTGAAAAATAAATAAAAAATGAAGAATACGTTAGAGAATAGCTCGACACTCAATACGATCTATTGCAAAATAGAAAAAGTTTGTTCTAAATTCTCATCTCAGTGCACCACGTAATTCGAGTCAGTGAGAACCGGATCCTTGGATCCTTGAAGAAACGTACGTTCTGCTAGGTGGAACGCGTATAGATTTACATATGGTTTACATGGATTCAGTGGTATATTCCTCTGGTGATAAATGAATTTTTCACTCAGCAGATGAAATGCCCCTCCAAAAACCCTTAACAACAAAAATCTACAGATAATTACGTGATAAATCGCGTAATTATTCCCGAGTGACGAAATTTTCCCCTTAATATTCCTCGTAATTCAGTATTTATTATTTTACTAATTATTAATTCAATTATAAATTAATCATCTATGGAATTGAAAATTATGATTTTTTCTTGAATTGTATTTTAATTTACCATTTTTTACATTCCGTACAGAAAATGGCGGATTACCCATCCGATTTTTTTCCTTTTACTCCCATCGTAATGAAATTCTGTACAAATTCCGATAAAAAATCATTACCGCACTTGTTGGGTAATATATTCCGAAGCGATTACCAGCGGTTCCTTGGGATATTTTATTTGAAATGTCTGCAAGTGATTCCACGAGTTTCTCCCGCCGATCCCATGATTTCAAATGATTCTCATGATTTCACACGATTTCAGGAGTTTTTTCTTATGAAAATTTAAATTCAAGGGGACACAGTTCTCTCGCCGATAATTATCCCGTAAAAAATAAGTAATTCCAATGGAATACTTGTCTCAATGGATGGAGTAGGCGTGTTGAATCGTCAGTAGCATGAGCCAATCGCGATGAAGGCCCTTATCCAACTGCTGCACACCATCACCTCGATTTTTTTTTTATGTTGCCAAGTTTGTTATCCACACTATCCACCGGCAATCTGTGCTCCGCCCTTTTCTCAACTTTGCGAATAGAATCCCCCGGATCCTTGGAAAAATTTAATTTTTCCGTTGCACACTGACTCCCGTTTTTTATTTTTTATCTCTTTATCTTGAGCTTAATCTCCACCTTCTATCGGGCTATTTGCAAGTGGCAATCGCTTTTTAATAATTTATCTCTTGACATATGAGGAGGTACGAAGAATGGATTAGAGGAATTGTTGTAACTCGAGATTTTTTTTTATTTCTTGACGACGTTGCGTCTATCTAAATAAGACGTGTAAGCAACGCGTTATCGCATATTCGAATTACTTGCCGTGCAATGCGAAACTTTATTTTCTTCCATGTAATCATAAATAAAACATTGTTTATGGGGAATGGAATTTGGTCGAGTGGGTGGCTGTGGGTGATATTTTTTTCTGCAATTTCAGGGAATTTCGACGTGAGATTTCGGGAGTAATCGAATATTATTAATTTAATGAATTCTTTGTTATTAGAATATTATAATAATTTCATAAATCGCAGATCTCGAGGTTTTCACAAATATCGATTGATTGCAGAATTATTTAATTATTAATTAAGAGTAAATTTGAAGACTGCTTATGAAATAATTATGAATTTATTCGTCAATAAATAATGGTCTTCTACTTTAATTATTTATTTCAATAATTAATGAATCAAAAAAAAAGATTTTGAGATTTACACATAAAAAATGCAGTCCCAAGTTAACAATTAATAATTAATAAAATGGTAATTACATAAATTACGCCATTAATTCTTATAATATAAATCCAAAAATGTGAATATCAATGTAAAAAATCGAATGAGTAATTAATAAAATGGTGATTTATCTAATTGTGTCATTAATGTTTATAACATAAATTTGAAAATGTGAATATCAATGGAAAAACTCTGGGAGCCCAAGGAGAAAAATGACGGACAGATGAAAATCCGTTATTTCAACGATTTAATTGGGTTAATTAATTTGTTAATTTAATGCCATGTGGTATTCTCCTGACTCGCTAATTAATATTACCTTCGCGCGATTTTAGAATTGTATTTTGATAAAATTCAGTGCTCAACTACATTCGCTGTGCGTTTATTCTCTGTGCCATTCGCACTACATAATTAGAAAACGTCGTGAGTTAACGAGTCAAATTAATGCCGCGTGGCCTAATAAAAGGTATATGGAGCGGATGTACTGTATTTCTGCATGAAAATGTCTCATTTCTTCATGTCCTCGTCGTAATTCTCGGATATGTCGGCGTACTTGTGCATTTGTCCAGTAAAAATTGAAAAATTGATAATTCATTCGAAAAACTTATTTAATATTATTATTAAATATTGAATATTTATTTCTGCACAGAAATGTGGCAGTTCATTATTTTTTAGTCAGGCATGTACTGTAATTATTTATTTATTTATTCGTTTAGTCATTTATTTGTAGGACTTTCGTAATGGAAAATTGAAATTGGAAAATTGAGATTGAAAAATTGAAATTGAAAAATTGAAATTGGAAAATTGAAATTGAAAAATTGAAGTTGGAATATTGAAATTGGAAAATTGAAATTGGAAAATTGAAATTGGAAGATTGAAGTTGGAAAATTGAAATTGGAAAATTGAAATGGGAAAATTGAAATTGGAAAATTCAAGTTGAAAAATCGAAATTGGAAAATTGAAATAGAAAAATTGAAATAGGAAAATTGAAATTGAAAATTTATATTATTATGTATTTGTCAATCTAATTTTTTATACGTTTTAGAGGAATTTACGAGATGAAGGTTTGAGTGGGGAATTTCCATCACTTTGGGGAAATGGGAGAATGCATCGGTTTTTCAGTTGAAGTTTCAAGTGTTATTTCCTCGCGTCCTTTGATAACTTTTCCTTAATTCAATCCAACAATTCATGTAACCATCAAGTGCAATAATACCAGACATTACTCAACAGCATAATACCATTGTGTACCTTTCCCCAAGTTTCCTCCAGTTGTCTTCGACATTTTGACATTCGCATTCAACTCCCATTTCCACAGCGCAAGTGCAAATCTACAGTAGTTGACAGCTGCCTAATTACTCCCTTATCCCCTCAAAAAATCCCCAAAAAATCCCCAAAAAATTCCACCGAAAATCACGCCAAGCCGCACCTTCCGAATCCTTCAAAACCGCTGAATAAAATCCTGTCCCCAATTTCCCGAAAAGAATTCTCAAAAAATCCGAAAAATCATGGACTGGTCAAGGCGTGCGAACCAGATGTCCCAAAATTCCTGGCATACCCCAGATTTTTCTCCAGGGATTTTCCCCTCATGAATTTCCCCCGCAAAACTCCGAGAAATAAAACGAAAAAAAAAATAATAATAATACAAGACCCGTGAGACAAAGAGGCGGATGTTATTCAAGACTCAAGGAACAAAAGCCACAAAGCACACGTCAAAGTTTACGAATGAATGAACAAGAAAAAATAAAGCGATTGGAAAAGAGGGACACGTAGAAATCCAGTGGATTGAAATAAATTCCGATTGTTATCTCTGATAAATTTATTTCATCTGTCAGACGGTGCGATGGTCCCCAGATAATCAGCTCCTCATAAACATTCGAGGAAAGACTAGATGAATTAAAACGAGTCACGCAACCCGGGCCTTCCACTAACCCACGACACCAATAAATAAATTAAAAATCCATTATTACTCCAAAAATAATAACATTATAAAAAAATCTATAAAATTAATCCAAGATTAGCATCCCCCAGACTCACCTTTCCGTTATCAAAATCCTCTCACTTTCCTCGCACTTTCCACAACCCGAAGAACATTATCAACACTATTTATTTAACAATTATTTATGTGACAATTTAAATAGATTGATGTGGTGGATGATTAAAATAATTATATCAATGTTGTAATTGGGGTGGAATGGGGGTGAGTGAATTTTTTAATCAGCACTGCACGATGTGGGATGATGGGATTCCGGATTTTTTGGTCGGTAATTGAGTAATTGGGGATTGTAAGGACTCTGAGGACTCTGAGGACTCTGGGGATCCTGGGGACCCTGAGGATGATGTCAATGGTGGGTCTGGCCGGCTAGTTGTGGCTGGTGTGTGTGATGCTGCAGCCTGTGGAGCTGATGGTGCTGGGCATGCGAAATGTCGTCTTTCCACCCCCGCCCCGTTGGTCACGTGGTCTATCCCCACTGTTACTTCCCATTTCAATACTCTTGTCTCCATTTTACCACATCGATGTCCCCCCTTTCCTCAGGATATCAAGGGTCACCTCGAGCATTTTCCTCTGGAGGGAAAATTCTCTGATTTTTTAGGGAAAATTCTCTGATTTTTTAGGGAAAATTCGGGGGAATTCAGGAGTCCTTGATGGGTCTGATGGGGTAGGGGAAAAGGGATGGTTTTATTTGTTTGTCGTTTTTTTTTTTTGGTTTCGCTCACTTTTTTAAATTTTTTATTTTACTTTTTTTTTGACATTGGAAATCGGAATTTTATTAAGCAATTCGTAGAGATAGGGAAATTCCTGGGGAATTCAGTCATTCGTGAATCGAGTTTGTTTTTTCAGGAGTCTCTCTGGATTTTCTAGTTATTTATTGTTCTGGGATATTTTAATTATTTGTTCAAGTGAACATTGAAATTTTGAGTTTTAAATTGAAAATTTAGGAAAAGGCTGTAATGGTAGTGGAAATCTCTCAGTAATCGATTCACCGATGAATCGATTTAATTATTGAATATTCGAGTGATTTTTTGGTTCCACTAGTTTCTCTAAATCTTTAATTTATTAACAACTGAAAATTTAATTTGAAAAACCAAAAATTCCCAAAAATGTAACGAAAATTTATCAGGAATTCACGATTTACTGGCGAATCAGTAAAATTATTGAATACCCAAGTAATTTCCTATTTTAATTTCCACTGCTGGAAATTCCTCGATAAGTCCCAGGAATTTCGTAATTGAAAATTGAAACTTGAACGGAAAAACTGTAAATTATTAAATTATCACAAACTTTTTCCACGGTTCACAGTATTTTTTTATTCCACCGTGAAGCAGACGCGAGAGATCTACGATTTTTATCCCTGAGATGAAAGATGGGGTTGGGGATGCTGAAGGGTGCAAACCCTTTGTGGAAATAATTGTGAGGGCTGTCATTGCTCGTTTCACTGGATGTAATAACATATGTCGCTTTTCGAGAACAGAGAACCTCAAGAGGAAAGTGCCCTAATCATTTCCCCCAATCATCCTCTGGAGTAAAATGATAAAAAACTAATTGATCGCCTGGAGAAAATTCACAGAAATGATTCCAATAAAAATACTTCTCTCTAAATGAAAATAAATGACAGAAATAATAGCAGAGATGATTTTTTCTCAGGATAAATTCTCTCAAGTTCATGTTCCTATTTTTAAGCCGGGTATAATCCTCGTGACAGGCATCCTTTAATCCGTCCAGATTTACGGTACATTGCCCGGTAAGAATTCCCACCATCTCCGAAAAATCCCTGAACAATTTCAATCCCAAATTCGATCTTCCGTTTTCAAAACGCGATATCCATCAAAAAACACCAGAAAAAAAATGCGATTAGAATTTGAAGTACATTGAGTAATAGAAACACTCATAAATTAAAACACCAGGAGAAATATCTGGAGAGAACAATTATGTAGTGGATTATTCAGTTTTTTATTTATTTTTTTACGGTCCGTTACTGGAAAATTTATTTGTAATACGAAATCGAGTCCAGTGGGTGATATAAATATAAACAATTATTTCATCCGGAGAGAGAACAGAGAGTTCTTTCTTCGTTGATGGATATGTTTCCCTCCCGTTTATTTTTCCTGGAGATTATTTATGATCTTGAAGAGTAAATAAAATAGTTATAATTATTATTTAATGATCATTTTTTTAATTTCAGGGGAAAATTCGTGGAGCTGGAGCTAAATTTATAATTTAAGAATTCAGTGAAATCCGTGACTAATGAGATAATTCCATGAAATCGCTGGAAATGTGAATTTGTTGCGGAAAATCGGAAATTCCATGGATTATTCCCCATGAAATCGAATTGATCTTTAACCGGTACTTCAATTATGAATTCCCCAATTTTTCATGGGCATTTATCTCCGGACATTAAAATTAATGAATTACTCAAAATAAAATGACACACTCCATAGAATTCCGTAGAATTAAAAATAAATATTCTGCATTCGATATTATTTCACGTAAAAAATCGTTACTTATTTAGATTTTTTTATAGTATATATATGTTTTATAGTATATATATGTACTACACGGAGAGAAATATTTAGTAAAAATTACGGAACTTTCAGTTCACTTACCGATTACGGAGTTGATTCGAAAAATTTAAATGACGGTATCGTTATTTTTGACCGATTATTCAGATAAAAATTACGGAACACCGCGGAAAATTTCCGTGACTTTAGATAATTACGTGACAGTTCCGTAAAATTTCCGACAACCACATTTCGCTCCAGAATTACGAAAAATGCACGTAATTTTTATTGAATATTTCTCTCAGTGTACCGAAGCAAGTATGATATTATTTATTTATTTCCACGCATTGACATAAATAATCGGAATTTTCTTCTGGAGATTAAAATTACTCTGATCATAAATTAAACAGTAATTTAAAGAAATAAGACAGAGAGATGTGGAGAGGGTAATCTCGAGGGGGTGACAGAGGACCACCCACATGAGAGCTATGTACACACATATGTGAGTTTTGCCTGGCGTTGACACATGACATAGGTGTACATTAATGTGCACTCATACCCTAGAGTTTTTCCCTTAGTTTTCCCTCGGACTCGCATCCATGACTCACATTATTACCCCCAGCACATTACCCACACGTGGAGGGAGAATTCTTTGTTCAGTAGGAGAACAAAAAAAAAAAGAGAGAGAGAGAAGAAAGAAACGAAAAATAAAAATATGAGAGTGTGTGGGTGATGTAACACACGCAGGCGCACAGACAGCTGTCACCTTACACCAGGGTAGAGGGTAGGGGGTAGGGGATGGTGGGTCGGCCATTCTCAACTTATCTCTAGGATCTTTGTAAACATGTCGTGAAATCCGAGTACCTGGGGGAAGAGGGGAAGAGCCATTGGCGTAGAGCCGCGGTCAGGATGGCTCGAGGGGGTCGATGGGACGAATTGACCGGTGAAAATACCAGCTTCTGCTGGAGTACTCATTCCTTCATTTTAACGTATCGACAGATACCGAAAAATAAGGGAGATAGTCGTTTCCAGGGGCAACCCGACGTGGAGATGATGCATCCCATTGAGTATTTCGACGGTCTTCACTCATCTTCTGGGTGGTGTCGATCTTCCGGAGGTCTCGAGGTCGATTATATTTGTCATTCTCAACAAATATTTTCTTTTTTGAAAAAAAGAAAAACTACCTCTGGAGAAAAACCTGTATTTTATCAGAATTTCTGGGAATAGTAGTAAATAATAATAGTATTAGTAGTAATAAATATAATATAAATAATAGTAATAATATTCTGATGAAAATTCAAATGCGAGGAATTTTTTGTTCTCGCTGACGGAGGACAGACAACCGCAGCATCGTGAAACCCAATCCAGGCTGCACTGCCACAAGTCCCCGGGTGTTGTGTGGCCATTCGGGGGACCCACACCGTAGATTCGCTCAGGCGTGCAATCATGGGGGCCCACTTTTAACGTACGAAGGCGGACTCAAGGTAGAGCTAAAAGCGACTCACGAATCAGATTACATTACCCCACCTTCGCACCGGTCTTATCTCCGTTCTTTACTCAACGTCCACGTCACTTGGCTTTATTCCACTTCGATGACACTACTTTTCCTCTATATTTTCATCCCATCAAACCTCCAGTCGAATGATTTCTGCCCCCAGGAAACCCTTCTACATAAATTAAAATCAATTATTAATAGAGAAACCGTTTTCTTTTTGTACAACTAAAAAAATATGGCGAGCAATTTCGCTACTCTATTTTTTCCGCTTGATTCGGTATTTTGTAATAAATAAATAATTAATTTGATTAATTCATTAAGAAATAATGATTAGGTGTCATCAGGTTAATGAAGGTGCATTCAATAAAATGTTCGATGGTTGATTAGAAAAAATGATATCTTCATTCGTTCTTTTAAGTAAATCTTACAATGACGTTCAATACCTATTTAACATCTAGTCGTATTAATTAATCAAAGGTTTATACATTTAATCTAGAGGTAAAGCATGGATTTAGCCTGGGGGAGGGGTTATTCGTTATCGGTTCCACTGGTTTGAAGGTACACTGGAGTCTGACCACTCTGGGCCACTTGAATTATTTGTGGCTGGGCTTGAATGGGAGCAGCTTGAATTATTATCGGTTGATTGCTACCACCTTGCACTTGCATTCGAATCATCTGCAGTTGTTGTGGGGTTAATTGAATCTGAAACAATAAAATTTCATTATGGCACGAACATCGAAATAAGAATACAAGTGAAAAGTACACGAAATAAAAAAAACTATTCTCGTACGATTAATCCTCAAATGACTCGTGAATGGGGCCAAATAAAATAGGGGGAAAAGCGAAGAGAGAAATAATTAAATAATTAAATAATGAGCGAATGCTCTATTTTAATTCCATGTATTCTTTTGTTTATCATAATAAAAAATAGTATAAAGTTAGATAAAACTTGAATAAATACTTACAGGTATTTGTTGAATATCGCCATTAGGTGTAACGATTTGCTGTACAATTTGAATGCCCCCAGTTTGAGGTGATGTTTGTTGGGGCTGTTGAAGTTGAATAACTTGCTGTCCACCTGCCTGTTGAGGGCTCTGAACAGTGACAGTCTGAGTTGTACTCGTATTCGTCGACTCTTGATCAACAGGACTGCCAATATTTATCGTTTGTATCTGTCCAGCATTTGGTTGAACAATCTGTATGGGCTGTGTTGCGCCATTGTTCTGGACAGTCTGATTGGCAGATGCTTGCTGTTGGGCCAGTTGGAAGTAATAGTGAACCTGATCTGAATTCATTACTGTGCGTACACCATCGGATTGGGCTTTACTCTGCTTCAATTCGTCTCTGGGGACGATGTCGATGAGAAAATCAAATTGATCGTACTTTGTTATCGCCATTGCAATGTCATTACGCTGGAGTGTTCTTCGTTTGTTGTCCTCGGTGTGTACCCACGCCCTCAGTGTCAACTCGTGGATGAATATCTCCGCTGCTTTTGAGAATAACATCGGGGCCTCGGCACTTATCATCTTCACGTCACCGTCCAGCTTCATTATCTTTTTTATCCTTGCCAGGGGGAGGGATTGTGTCTTCAGGTCCATCTGAAGAGGAATTCTACATGAATTTCTTATAATAAAAAATGTATTAGTGCTGTTTTATCTTAATTGTTTTCTATCCGAAATTTATTTGAGTTTTAACAATTAGTATTTGCAAAGGCGACATGCTGTAATTTTAATATTGGGAGATGCGTTCACCACAGATAATTATTCATCCGTTAAGATGAATTCATACCGAACTAACTGTCGCAATTTTCTTGATTTCCTCCGTTATTTTCGGCCAGAAGGTGAGAAGCGCCTGTTGTGCTTCTGAGCTTCCAGGTGATGCGATCTGGAGATCTCCATTTGAATCCACCGGATCTTCCACTTCGCTGTCCTGATTCCTGAAATTTGTTTATAAATTCTTAGAGTTCGATGACGATCTCTCATTTACACGAAATTATTTCCCACAACTTTTCAGGTTTTTCCCAATACGTGGGACAGAATTTTCGAGAATTCAGATACATTTCGCGGAAAAATAAAGATAAATATGCAAAATTGATAATAAAGATTTGGCGTAGAAGGGAGATAACCTAGAAGACAAAAGAAATGAGCTTTACTCACGCATTAACGAAGAAAACAGACATTTTGGGATGACAAATTTGTACCCAATAATAATCGACTGCCCCTCGTTACACCGAGTGCCGACACAACATTTATGGGATTTTAATAATTATCGAGAACCGATTGATTAATGACAACAAACAATTAGTGAGGTTAGAATTATTTGGATTATCAGCAACTTGATTTCGGAATTCGTAATGGCGGGTGTTCGATGCGCTGTCATATTGCGCGGATGGAGGGGAGAAATGAAAGGCGGGAAATATTGAAAAACAATGTATTATATATAGTATGTTTACATATCGTTGAGTAGAATTGTTCAATTGTGCATTGCTTTGTAGCTGCTTAACTTCTGGAATACGTGGTTGAGTACTTGTTTTGATGTGGGAATTGTCGAGGTATTTATTCTGATTATCTCGCCGAATTCTCGGATGTAGTAGTCGAGCTCAGACTCGTCCGATGAATCTTTTGATAACATGTATTTGTTTGTTAGTTGTGATAATTTTAGCAGGTCCGAACTGAATTCCTCATCGAGGTCGAAGAGTTCCAGGGCCGGCGGAGGCAATTCTTGGAAACTTGGAGGGAATACCTGCGAAGTTAATTAGAGATTAATCACAGAAATTCTTCATATGATTGAATTTTACTCTGATATCAAAGAGAATTATTACTGAGGGCTGAGTGGGCGGCAATGGAGTCTCAAAATGCGGTCGGATTAGAGTCAGTGGTTCGTGGTTGACGCCGAGAACTTCGAAGGCCTTGATGCATTCAGGTACAATCTTTAAATTAATTGAGTAAAAATTATGTTTGAATAGTTTCGTGTATTCTCGGGGTATGTCGATGTTATCGAGGTCTTGGGTGCAGACTTTTGGATTCTCCGCCTGTTGGGTGATGTCTGGGACGAATGTGTAATCAGGATACTGCAATGAATAATTAAATGACTAAATTTAATAAAAAGAACATTTTCTATTTTTATTCGTCATATTCATAACTGAGAAATGGATTATTCATTAAAAGCAGTTTGTGTTCTCTGCAAAGAGGAAAATATTAAATGTTCGAAAAGGAAAAACTGATTCATGGAATTAATTGGGGATTTCATCAATTTAGGAATAATATTGTTTTATTTACGAATATTACGAAAAATTATTGCTTTTGTTGATAGTCTTCACCTCAATGTCATCTGCACGATAATTCTTCGAGCCTTGATCCTTTGATTGAAAGAACTGGAAGATCATGTCCCTCAAGGCATCATTCTGCTCCTTTTCGACGTAGGAATCAGTCAGGAGACGAGAGGAGCCCAGGACGACTAATTTTCCTGCACTCGTGGGTGATGAATAATATGCGCAAATCGGTCTGTTCATTGGGATTGCGAGAGTTCCGGTAGATAAAGCCACTGTTGACGGTTGCACGACATTCAAAGTCGCTCCATATGGATAAACGAAATTCATGCGCCTGTGAATTTTTTAATTGCTAATCAAATCTTCGTTAATAAATTCCTAGAAATTCGGGAATTTAGAAATGATTAATAATACAAATTCGACTCCAATATCAATTGATTCTCCAGTCATGATATAACGGATGTAAAATATATCGAAAGTATACAAATAAAATTAATAAATAATGAGAAAGAAAAGACTCACGTGAAGTCTTCACGATTATGTACAAATCTAGAATTATTCGATAGGCCATGAGATACTGTACACTCCTTCGGGTGCAATGTTTGATTATAGTTCATTCGCACGACGAAATCTGAAATTAAGAGACTTATATTATTTTTAGTACATAAATAAAAAGATAGATAAGGAAATTCTCTCAATATGTTACCGTTGTTAACCATAATTCCGAATTCTTCAAGTAAAAAATTGATATTAGTATTGAATTTGTTTTCTCCTCCTTCACCCAGCATCACCAATACATTCCCTCCACCATTGATAAATCCCCGGATCGAATTCATCTCGAGTTCCGTGAATTTACTCCGGGGTTCGGCGAGCACGAGAACTTCCCCGTTGGCCAGAGTTTCTTGAGATAACACATCATTATTCCTAAACATAAATTCAAAATTGACAGCACCAAGAAAAATAAATTAATAAACAATGGAGTTATTATTATTATTACACTGAGGGGTAGATTCAACTGATAAATTAATTATCAGTCTTCGATAAAGCATTGATTTTTTTCTGTGTTACGAAATTTTGATGAAATGGATAATTGAAAATTGCATCAGTCACTAAACAAATTGAACCATTGAACTCACTCGATGAATTTCCACTTTTGTTTCAATTTTCTCTGCAAGACCTTGAATTCCTCATTGAGTCTTCTCTCATTTTTCGAAGTATCAAAAATAATGAGATGTTTATCGTTCTCCGCAGTCTCCATAACAGAATTAATCACTGAGTTATTGAAAATAAATATCGTTGGACAATTATTGGAGTAATTACGGATTAAAACACGTTGTTGTTGTCATGGCAACCGATCACAACAGTCGATCTGTCAAATGTGAGGAAGTCATTGGTCCGGGAGAAGAGCCAATCACAGGACATGAGGATTAATTTTCCTTTTGCACATGAATTAGTTTGGCCTGACTTGTTTAACCTGTACAGTTATGTCCCTCAGGTTTTAACTGAGTCAATCGTTAATTCAAAATAATAATGACTGATAAATTGCGGAGATATGAAAAAATCGATTTCCTGGGAGAGGGACAGGTAATGTCTGTTCAATTTACATATTTTCATTGGTATTTAATTTTTTTTAACACTTTTTTACAGTTTGCCACTGTTTATAAGGCTAAGGATTCAGAGACTGGCCACATCGTAGCTGTAAAAAAGGTTTGATTACCCAAATTAATTTAATAATACAGGAATCAAACTGAAGTAATTCGAGTAATTCTTTCGGTCCATGTGAAAACGAATTTAAATTCCAGATCAAGGTAGGGAGTAGAGCAGAAGCTAGAGATGGTATTAATCGCACAGCACTGAGGGAAATTAAATTACTCCAAGACTTGAAGCACGAAAATATCATTGGATTATTAGGTAAGCGAAATTGAATGTAAAATCGTGAATCAATTGATGAATAATTAATTCAAAGTCAATGCTCAAATTTAGGTTTTTATTCTTTATGCATGTATAAAGAATTCCGAAAACTTCAATTACAAATTTAAGGCCCGGATGGACTGTCTGGAAAAGATAATTTACTCCAAAATTGGGACTTCTAATTATTCCGTCAATTAATCGTTTTTTCCGATAATTGTTAGCTAGCGGCCTAGTTGTTGACAACCGCTAGAACGCTAGCTAACAATTATTGAAAAAAAACGATTAATTGCCAAAGTAATTAGGAATCCGAATTTCGGAGTAAATTATCTTTTCTAATCCACCCGAGCCTTAATCCATTTGATTCTAATAGTGGAATTGAGAATGAGCTGATATTTATAATTGATACATCGCTATTTTAAAATTTTGCACAGATGTATTTGGTCACAAGTCGAACGTGTCCCTCGTATTCGATTTTATGGACACCGACCTGGAGGTGATAATCAAGGACAACAGCATCGTATTGACAACTGCAAATATAAAATCATACATAATTCAGACTTTACAAGGTCTGGATTATCTCCACTTCAACTGGATACTCCACAGGGATTTGAAGCCAAATAATCTCTTGGTGGACAGTAAAGGGGTGTTGAAAATTGGTGATTTTGGTTTAGCCAAGTTTTTTGGCTCTCCGAACAGAATAAATACTCACCAAGTAGTAACGAGATGGTACAGATCCCCAGAGTTGCTTTATGGGGCAAGATTGTACGGCACTGGGGTAGATATGTGGGCTGTGGGGTGCATCCTGGCTGAGTTGCTACTGAGAATGCCTTTTCTCCCTGGGGAATCTGATCTCGATCAGCTAACAAGAATTTTTCAGGTGCCATATCAGTTTTTATTCTGTCCTGTTGTCTTGATTGTTAAATTGTACAAGAGAGCTTTTTCGGTTTTATTTGTAGACCCTGGGAACCCCGACCGAGGAGACGTGGAGAGGGATGAAAGAACTTCCCGATTTTATTCAGTTCAAGCCATTCCCAGGGACTCCCTTGAAGCACATCTTCACAGCAGCTGGAGACGATCTCCTCGACCTTATAGCCAGTTTACTTAGCATTAATCCTCAGGACAGGTGTACCTGTGATCAGGCTCTACAAATGGCTTATTTCAGCAACAAACCAGCACCCACAGTAGGTGCAAGATTGCCCCTGCCTCAAGCGATAAAGAAATTACCCGAGGAGAAACCCAGTCTCAAGAGGAAATTACTGGAATCTATGGATGGAGGCACTCTTGCCAAGCGATTACAATTCTAATCGCCAAATAATGACATTTGATTATTTTTATTGCGAATTATTATACGGAAATGTTATGTTTCGATTTATGTGAGAGTGCGACGTTGAGGATCCAATTGTGATTGATTTTATAAATAAAAGTATTTTCTCAACTTGTCGTTAATTATTGATGTTTGAAGCAACGTGCCACTGTAATTAATCGACAGATAATTGAAATTAGTTAATTAGGGATGAGTAAATATTTTTTCAGACAGTTTTAGCAGGGAATATTTCAATTTTCTTTTTTTTCAATTCAATACAAAATTATAATTTATAATAATCAACAATAATGAATAGTGACGGATTATATTCCAGATAACTGTAATCTCATGTTTTGGGATAGAATGAGATAATGACAGATAACGTCAATAATGGCTACTTGTCACTGTGTCCCGTCCAGTTGAAGCGGATAAACCCCTCGTAATTGTCACCGATAAACAATAAAAATGAATGTTGTGACAGCAATAAAGCTTTACATCACCCGGATGACAGAAGAAAGTGGTCCGGGTATGAAAGTTCTCCTGATGGACAAGCAGACGGTAAGAATATTCTCCAGATCTTTTAGGTTATCCCTCTCTGTCAAAATCCACCCAAACAATCACAACTGTCTATTTATTTTTATTTCACAGACCAGCATCGTGAGTTTGGTTTACAGTCACTCGGAGATACTGATGAAGGAGGTGTACCTGTTCGAAAAAATTGACGCTGTGGTACGAAGTGAGGCTCTAAGACACCTCAAGTGCATTGTATTTATCAGGCCAACCAAAGAAAATGTTGCATTACTCTGCAACGAATTGAGAAATCCGAAATATGGGACGTATTACATATGTAAGTTATTTAGTGCAGCTATTTTCTATTTTTTTCCTGTCAAATTTACGATTTCATCTCATCAAGAATCACTTGAGAATGATTATCAATTTAATAAATCCAATGATTCATTAATAATTGATGTTCAGATTTCAGTAACATCATCGCTAAAGCTGATATCAAACTTCTGGCTGACAGTGATGAGCAGGAAGTTGTTAGGGAAGTTCACGAGTATTATGCGGACTATCTAGCGATAAATCCTCATTTATTTTCACTTGGAATTCATGCATGTTCTGAAGGTAAACAAAATTATCCTGTCGACTTTGTAATTCTGAGATTTTTATCTAAAAAAATTAGTACAATCTTGAGGACTGATTATTCCTATATTTTTTTAAATAGTCATTATTAACTGGATCTTAAAAATAAATGGAATTATTATTTTTAAATGATTAACTTGCTCATAGGTTTAACATGGAATCCAGAACACCTCCACAGAAGCTGCGAGGGAATAATATCCGTGTTATTGTCCCTGAAAAAATGCCCTTACATTCGTTACCAGAGTAGTTCGAAAATGGCTAAGAGATTATCAGAGAAAATTCGTGAAGTGCTGACGAAGGAGTCGAATTCCTTCAAGTTCAGACAAGAGACTGATCCCATTCTGTTGATTCTCGATAGGAGAGATGATCCCGTGACGCCTTTACTGAATCAGTGGACATATCAGTCGATGGTCCACGAGTTGCTGACGATAAATAACAATCGAGTTGATTTGTCACACGTTAAGGGGATCTCCAAAGAATTGAGGGAAGTGGTTTTGAGCGCTGAACATGATGAGTTCTACGCTGAGAATTTGTACTTGAATTTTGGGGAAATTGGCCAGACGATTAAGGAATTGATGGAAGAATTCCAGAGGAAAGCGAAGAAACATCAGAAGGTGGAGAGTATTGCTGACATGAAGAACTTCGTTGAGGCCTATCCGTTGTTCAAAAAAATGTCGGGAACTGTTTCGAAACATGTGACAGTTGTCGGTGAATTATCGAATCTGGTCGGTCAGCACAATTTGTTGGAAGTCTCTGAAACTGAGCAAGAGCTTTGCTGTCAGAACGAGCACTCCAATCAGCTTCAGAAGATAAAAAAATTACTTAACAATTCTAAAGTACGAGACATCGATGCCACTAGATTAGTGATGTTATACGCTCTTCATTACGAGAAACACACGAACAATGAAATTGGAACTCTAGTCGAGATGTTGAAGAAACGAGATGTTCCAGAGAGATACACAAGACTTGTATATAACATTTTGGAGTACAGTGGTATCAATATGAGACAGTCGAATCTATTCGATCGCGAGGCGGTGGCAAAAATAACAAAGAAATTGTTCAAAGGATTGAGTGGTGTTGATAATGTCTACACACAGCACAATCCCCTTTTGACTGAGATCCTCGAGGATCTGATCAAGGGAAAATTAAATACTCAGACTTATCCTTACCTTGGAAATATGGTCATGACAAAAAGAACTCAAGATGTGATTGTCTTCGTCGTTGGTGGGGCAACTTACGAGGAGAGTCTGGCTGTTTACAACCTGAACAAGCAAAATCCTGGAGTCAAGGTTATCCTGGGTGGAACGACACTCCACAATTTTGAGAGCTTCTCCGGAGAAATTGTCTCAGCTACTGACGGTGTAGCATCGAAATACAAATCAAGGAACCACTGATCCATGAGGAGACCTGTTTTTCTAAAAATATTTATTCAGCATTCCCCTAAAATTAAATACCAATATTCACGCGGGGTCTCTCATCGATCGATTAGTTCCATTTATATTCATATGTTACTAATTACCAGTGTATAGTAATGATGAATTGTTCGTGAATAAAATAGCTTTGTTGTAAAATTAAGAAAAAAAAGAAATAATCAATTTTTCACAGCCTCTCACATCGTTCACCAGAAATATTAGAAACATTCAATTTTTATTTCAAGGAAAAGTTGTTCTCGCTGGATGAAAATTCATCCACTGAGAGCTAATGAATTAATTCAAAAGAAATAACAGAGAAGACGGTTTGGAGTATTTTTAATCCAGAATATGGGAAAGATCATCGAAAATTATTCAACATTTACGTATCCTTCTCGTCGTAGAGAGTCTCGTAATTCTCCTCTCGGGTATTTGTACATGGGTATCGAGAAAGAGTACCTATTGTTTAAATTATAACTTTTATTATACATCATCGCTTTTCATCCCTCCTATCTCTTCCTTTCACTTGAAGTTTTTTATAATCTATATGAAATATAAAATATACAACTCATCAATCATTTAACAATACCCGTGTAAATGGCGTAAGAAACCATGGCGACTGTTGCAAAAATTCCAGCTAATATCTGATTTCTCGTTTTGTGGGGAAATTCAGAGTCCGAGTCTTTGCTCAATTTCGTTTCGTTCTCCTTGGACTTGATCTTCTCGTACTTCTGATAATCAGCCTCGAAGTACCTCTGGGATATGCGTGAGACGAATTTAACGAGATTTGTGCATGCCTTGAGGTGGTTCTGAAGGGATGGATTTGGCAGTGGTATTTTCAGCAATGGTGCCAAGTACGAGAAGACTACTGCATCCAGATATGTTGGTTGTGAACCAAAAAAATAATCGGCATCACCCAGTCTCGTGGATAACAGATTTATGCATTTCTGGGCCTCGGAGTAGATTTTATTCTCGATGACAGTCATCACCTCCTCCGTTGGGAAAAGGATTTCTATCATGGCACGTGCGTGTTTCTCGTATTTCGAGGGGTAGTAGAAGTTCAAGGGGAATGGTATCGCTTTTGCATACCACGGCCGAATAAAATCGCTGAAATTTCGCTGATCGACCCACCTAGAATGATTAATTATGACGTAACATTATTAATTTTAAAGTTATAACAGAATTGTCAATTAAAAAATAATAAAAAATCATTGCTCGATTCGATTTTTTAAGTCTCAACAGTTAACAGCAACAATTTCAGAAATATCTCGGAATCTATGGAAGATAGGGAAATTTTTATAATGACCTTTTTGGTAGCTCTCAAGTGGACCTATAAAAACTGTCCTGTAAAAAATTGTGGTATATTCATAGATTCCGAGATATTCCCAAAAATTTGAAAAAACTGAAAACTGCATTCTGAGATTCTATAACTTAGGACTCACCAAATAAATTGAAAAGCTGGATACAGACTCTCCTTGAGCATGTACTCATAACTAAGAACCTCAGAGCACTGTTTAGGTGATAAATGGAAATCGGCATTGTAATTCCGTTTTCGGAATAATTGAATGATGTCTTGAATGGAATCGAATGAACTTGCCCCACATTTCAGGACCGGCAAGTGGCCTCTGGGTGTTCTGAAGGGATTGCTTGTTGGATTGACACTCAAAGGTACTCCAGTGAATTTAGCGTAGGCCTGCAAGCATCAGAACAACAAATTAATTATTAAAAAAAAAATAGTAAACAAGATAATTCAGAACTCACCAGAACTTGCAGGCAGGGAATATCCACAGAGGGTAGACCCCAGTCCCCTTTCCAAATATTCAGCTGATACTCATTATCCAGATTCATGTTCGAGGATCATTAGTCACCAGGGGAAGGTCAATCAATGAGCTTGTCATTGAAATTTTCGTTGAAACAATTGATGTACTTTCAATGAGGCAGATGTTTCGTTCATCTAACCTGAAAATTCTCTCGTTTTTGTCACGGCGGATTTTTATCGCGCCAGTTGCGCCATAAAATCGTGAGAAAAACGCGGAAAATTACTCTATCATTCAACCCCTTCACACGCATGCGCCGGTAGTATCAACAGGTGATTGAAGATCATTTGAAGAATTACATTAAATACCGAAATTGTGAGAACAGGTGTGATTTGTTTTAGAAAAAAATCACCGGTAAAATCAGGATGGATTGTTCTTCAATTCTGCAATAAAACTCTCGTCTCTCCAGAAGATCAACTCCAGTTCTGTAGGCAGTGACAGCTGATTGGATTAACGACGGATCAGAGAATTTATTTTAGGACCGGTTGGATCACCTGGAAAAGATAATTTACTCCAAAATTGGGATTCCTAATTACTCTGGCAATTAATCGTTTTTTTTTCAGTAATTGTTAGCTAGCGTTCTAGCGGTTGTCAATGACTAGAGCGCTAGCTAACAATTATCGGAAAAAACAATTAATTGCTGGAGTAATTAGAAGTCCCAATTTTGGAGTAAATGATCTTTTCTAGACAGTCCATCTGGGCCTTAAGCTGATGATGAAATGGAAATAAAGCAATTGTCATCATGAGGTTTACTATAAATTCAATTCAATTGGAAAGAGTAATTGTAATTGTAATGTTCATTAACGATTAACGTCCGATTACAAGGAATTCGTGGACTAGTTTTCCTGTGGATGATATGGTCATCACAGGGGGTTTTCCTTCTTCAAAAAACTTCACCACACACTCGGAGAACCTGTCAGGAATTCCTGGTGGCATTAAATCAACGGGAATGCCCAGTTGTCCACTTCCAGGTCTGGGCTCTGAAAGGATGAGATATTAGGACGATCTAAATTTTCGCAATTCCAGTTTTAATTCAATGAAAAATGATCGATATTCATTGCCGATTTCCCGCGATTTTCCGTTTTTTAAACAAAAATTTATTGAATATCTTCTATAATTGGAAAATTTACGACAAATGTTTGAACTTTTGAGAATAGTTTTTGATTATTCCCAAAAACACATGATCATATGACCTATATAAAAGGGTCTTAAGTTGATTTGTAAATAAAATAAAAGGGAATCTTAAGGCCCGGATGGACTGTCTGAAAAGATAATTTACTCCAAAATTGGGACTTCTAATTACTCCGTCAATTAATCGTTTTTTCCGATAATTGTTAGCTAGCGGCCTAGTTGTTGACAACCGCTAGAACACTAGCTAACAATTATTGAAAAAAAACGATTAATTGCCAAAGTAATTAGGAATCCGAATTTCGGAGTAAATTATCTTTTCTAGATAATCCAACCGAGCCTTAAGTCTCTATAAACAGCTCTAGAAATCGTAATCACAACGAAAACAACACATCGAACTGATAACATATTGGAATATTCAGATTTAGACACGAAAAAACGGAATATCTTGCTTTGACAAATAATACCAGTTCAGTAGCTGAACAATTCACACTTCACCACATGTATATATAATCTTCAACAACATCCAATCGGATGGGCACTTATTTTTTTATATAATCCTGACGCAATTACCGTGATGACATTTCAATTAATTGCATGTGGAAAAGTGCCACTATTCTTCATTAGAAATTAACATACCGGAAGTGTTATATAAATAATTATTATATATATGTTTATATATGTATTCATACATTTATTTATACATATTTTTGGTTTATTGTTATATAATTTATAATAAATTATTGTGTGGGATTTAATAATTTCGAAGAACAAAGAATTCAATAGAAATTACAAAACATTATCACATCTTCTTCATAAAAATTCCTACACTATTTCCCTTCGGAATTACGGAAAAATCACTGAATTTTCATTGGATATTCTCTCAGTGGGAATTAATACGAAAAGAATTCATAATTTAATGAACATATTCATTTATTTTCAGTGGAGCGGCAAAAAATACATTTCCATAACAAGATTTATTACAAATCTAGATTAACAAATATTTTTTATCAAAGGAAAGAGCAGAGGAAAATTCTTTAGATTGCTGAGTTAACGTCCGATCCCAGGGAATTTATGTATGAGCTTTCCTGTTCCGGTAATGGTGACAGCAGGAGGTTTTCCCTTTTCGAAAACCGTGAACGTACACTCGGCTGAGCTATCAGGAATACCTGGTGGCACTTTATCCGCAGGAAACTCCCAATTTTCGATTACCAAGTCTGGATTCTGTGGAGTAATTACTATAATAATTTCATCCGTCATATCTGAAGAAAATTAGAACATAATCGATTCGAATCTATGATGATGAGTCTACATGACTTTTAGAGAATGTAAACGAAATGATTTTTTTTTAATTGCAAAATAATTATTGATACCGCTACAAATGGACAACTGGTGGGATACACTCCAATGGGCCGGCCATGGTCCACTATTCCTTTTCCAATTATTGGATCGTTGAAGAGGTCGCACATTAATGACTCGAAATGCATCATCTCGATACCATCCAAAATCAAATCTATTCCAATCTACAAATCATATAAATATGATTCATCATTTACAACATTAAAAAAATTTCACTAAAAGAAATCTATGTATCATTCATTAATTAATCAATATTAATATTACAATAATAATGTTAATAATGAATTAATTCACAACATTAGCGATAAAAAATGGAAAATCGTTCCGAAGTTTTTGAAATTGCAGAATTCGTTTGTAATTTTCATTAACTAAATCAACAAATATAACATCAACAATATCAATAGAATCATTAATTAGTATAGGAGAGGATTTAAAAAAATGGAGTGTACCATCATGTTGGGAGGAAGGTCTTGTTTAATCGGTGTTTTCAGTGAAACTTGTTCTCCGACAGGATCGAAAATCACAGTCCAAGGATCGAAAAACGGATTCTCCTCCATTTTAACGTTTACTTCCTCGACGACGATATGGGTGAACGGCTGTCAAATGGAAAATAAAATACAGATAAGACTTTATGCAAGAGAATTTTTCAATAAACAAATGGAAAAACACCTTACGTCCGCATAAACCGCCGGAAAAATCGTAACCGCGATAAGTGCAATGCACTGGACTGATAACATACTGAATTCGCAAGGATAAACGATAAATAATGCCATTGCACTAGCTGCTTCATTTATATAGAATCTCCAATCATTTCCCAGAAGATTACTCTCTCCCTTTTTTATACATAACGACGTAACAGATTTGATTTGACTCGATTATTTGCATGTGATAAATTTATAATAAAAATCCACACCGATTATAGATATTGTCACATGATACCGGAAGTAAATAATCACCAGATAAATATGTCAATCCGGAAGTCGTGTTGTGAAGGAAAGATCATTCTAATTGCTGGAGAATAATCTTCTGCAATTTTTAATAATTACCAGAGATTACCCTTTATCTTAAATTTATTATAATTTTCTAGGAAAATTTTCGTAATAGAAATTCAGGCATTTTTCCAGCATCCAGAATTTCTCTGATATATATACAAAACGGAATAATATAATATAATATATATAAGACGAAATTAATTGAACTAGTTTATATAAACGAAAAATATGATTTGTTAGATCGGATTTTTTATTTGTCCATTATTTTTGAAGAGCACATATTTGTTCTTGGAATGAAGAATTTATATACTACTTTTTTATATTAGATTTCGAGAAGTCGAAACTGCAAACTCCATGTTTCGACGAAAACGGCCTTGTGAATACGAGGAAGATATCGTATTAATATTTACTGTGCTACGCCGATAACTCCTTAATAAAAAAAAAATTCCACCTCGAACGCTAGATTTTCTATTTCAAAATATTTCATTGAATGAAGAACAATTACCCCGACCCAAATAGTGATTTTTTTAGTGAGTTATATCCGTCAGTTTTGCATAAGTCGTGAATGATGTCATCCTTAACGAAATTTCTGTGAGTCAATGGTGCTTAATTGATTGATTAAGTAATTAATTAGTAATTATAATTGTTAATCTATTTTAGGATAATATTCGCTGTTTTCGCTGATTCTAAAGAATTAGACACTGACGAAAACCTACCGGAAGATGTCTCAATACCATTTTTCAATTTTACTCAGAGTCCAGAAAACAAAATAGAAAAATGTGTAATGAATGATTGCGTGAATACAGCGAAAAAGTATTCGGAATTAGTGGATGAGGCATTTGAGCCATGCGAAAATTTCTATGAGTTTTCTTGTGGTCGTGGAATATTCACTCGTTTTTCACAATCCGAAAATGCCGGTGATGGATGTGATGTTGTCAGAGGTACCCTCAGGAAAAATCTTCATGGAAAAAAAATATTGTTCTTTTAATTTAATAATAGCTTAAGGACCGGTTGGATTGTCTGGAAAAGATAATTTACTCCAAAATTGGGATTCCTAATTACTCTGGCAATTAATCGTTTTTTTTTCAATAATTGTTAGCTAGCGTTCTAGCGGTTGTCAACGACTAGAACGCTAGCTAACAATTATCGGAAAAAACAATTAATTGGCAGAGTAATTAGGAATCCCAATTTTGGAGTAAATTATCTTTCCGAAATACTCCATCCGGCCCTTAATTTATACATTTGATTTAAAGCTCGGGTGGATTATCTAGAAAAGATAATTTACTCCGAAATTCGGATTCCTAATTACTTTGGCAATTAATCGTTTTTTTCAATAATTGTTAGCTAGCGTTTTAGCGGTTGTCAACGACTAGAACGCTAGCTAACAATTATCGGAAAAAACAATTAATTGGCGGAGTAATTAGGAATTCCAATTTTGGAGTAAATAATCTTTCCGAGATACTCCATCCGGCCCTTAAAAATTATTCAGACATGCTGGAGAGCCCAGTAGAAGATACTGACATTTATCCAATTCAGAAAGCCAAGAAGTTGTATCAATCATGCGTGAGCTCTGGTGAGTACTTCTTCATTGAAATCTTCTCAGCAAACTCGAGTAATTGTTGTGGTTTATTTCATAATTAATAAATAATTATAGACCTCTCACCAATGGCGTTCATGATGGAATCACTTATTGAGGAAAATGGCGGCTGGCCGATGCTCCTGGACTTTGAAGCTTGGAAAGAAGATGAACATTCGTGGCAAGAAATTGATCTAAATGTTGCACGTTCAACTGGAGAATACGCATTTTTCGGTATAGATTTCATTCCAATACCAGGCGGAGATCCTGAAGACCAGAATATTTACGTGAGCTTTTTTTTGTTATTCAAATCATTATAGACAGTACGTAACCTTTCCATTTTCCGGCGTAATCTTGAGCCCAGACTTTCGATTGTCTTTCAAACATTGACCTATTTTATTGTTGACATAGAGAAGTTCTACACTCTTATCTACAATCTTCAAATAGTATCAGCAAATTTTGAATCTGAAAAAAGAGGAGGACAGAGTTTTGAAGTACATCGGGTAATTTAAAGCCCGGATGGACTGCCTGGAAAAGATAATTTACTTCAAAATTGGGACTTCTAATTACTCCGTCAATTAATCGTTTTTTCCGATAATTGTTAGCTAGCGGCCTAGTTGTTGGCAACAGCTAGAACGCTAGCTAACAATTATTGAAAAAAACGATTAATTGCCAAAGTAATTAGGAATCCGAATTTCGGAGTAAATGGTCTTTTCTAGATAATCCACCCGAGCCTTAAACATTTTTTTATAGCTCAACACGCCTGAAGAAGAAACCCTGCCATTAGAAGAGAATGAGGAAGAATATTACTCCGGCGTTAAACGTTTGCTGACATCATTTTTTGGCGAAAGAAAAATTAATGTTTCTGTAGAACAACTGAGGAAAGATATTCATAATCTGTACATATTTGAAAAGGCACTGCAAGAGGTACTGAAAATCGAACAGTATTTGTAATCAATATTCAATATTTTAGTATTTTTCATTAACATTAAGTAATTAAGTTCGTTAAATGTAGATTTGGGGAATTTCTAGACAGATAAATGTTCGGTCAGACTTCTTGGTCAACTAATCAGCAGCTCAAAAAAAAATTAGTTGAAAATTATTCTAGTAACAATGAAGGGATTATTAGGAGTTTGATTAAGGGCCGGATGGAGTATCTCGGAAAGATAATTTACTCCAAAATTGGGATTCCTAATTACTCCGCCAATTAATTGTTTTTTCCGATAATTGTTAGCTAGCGTTCTAGTCGTTGACAACCGCTAGAACGCTAGCTAACAATTATTGAAAAAAAACGATT